AATTTAACTTAGAATGGCAACAGATTGCCCACACAAACAATGATGAGGAAGGTTTTTTTGCAGGATTCGGGTAAAACTACTAAACCCAACCTAAGAAGAATCCATTTAAAATGTTAATCATGGGCCAATACTTTACACTAATGGAAACAGGCCTGTGCTGACCTTTGTAGTTAATAATGTTTGTATGTGTATTGTGGCAATCTTGTCAATAAAAAACTGATAATATAGAACAAAAATTATAATATTAAATATATACATTTGTTTAACTTGATCAATTCGGAGCACTTCCTGTTAGACAATTATGTAATAAAACCCAAAATATTCCTATAAATTATGTAAGCATTTGTGATTTGAACATTATGACACACATAAACAGCTTAGCCCCACCTGAACTTGGATGCAATCTGTATAAGATAAGATGGACTTTTATTAATCCCTCGTGGGGAAATTGTCTCTCTGCATTTGACCCATCCTAGTGTTAGGAGCAGTGTGCTGCCATTTTGAACGGCGCCTGGGGAGCAGTGTGGGGAACGGTGCCTTGCTCAGGGACACCTCGGTAACACTTGGTCTTGCCGGGACTTGAACTGGTGACTTTCCAGTTGCCAAGCCAAGTCCCTATCGACTTCGCCACCACCGCCCCATATGATTACCCATAATCACCTGCACACTAACAGTTTCTCTTACCGTAGTGCAATTTCACTATGAAGGGATGGTTGACTTCCACTAAAATGTCTCTTTCCATCTTAGTGCGAACTCTGTCCCTGACTGGAGAGAGACATAACGAGAAGGAGAGAGAGAGAAATTCAACACCGAGGACGGAACATGACGGGACGTTATATTGCACTGTGGTGTTTTGTGAGGACAGCAATTAAAAAAAAGTTGCATTACCTTTCAAAGATGCCTTTTTTAGAACTTTCATTGCATATAACTGACCCGCATCCGGACCAATGATCTTCCTGACAAGAAAAACCTGAGAGAACAGGAGACATTTGAGATGGATTGAACACCTACGCTTGCACCGTGGAAAGATGTGTCCGCTTGTTCCTCACCTTGCCGAAAGAGCCCTGGCCGAGGACTTTGAGCAGCTCAAACTGACACGGATCAGCTTTCTCACAGCCCTCTTTCACATGATGAGTGATGGGAATCTCCTCATACGTCCCTTCATCCTACACAAACAGCATCAGCATGAGACTCAACATCGTACATCACACGCACAAACGTTTAATCCCATCACTACTTACACAGTGTGAGAAAGAGTCTCCCTCCTCCATGGGCTCGTCCATGATCTCATGTCCATTGACCTGCGGAAAAGGCGAAAAAGATTTCATGAGCGTCGGCAACAGAAGACACTTTCACAAAGCGTGTTCATCCTTGTTTTTCAGCTGAGCGGGAGTGCAGCTGCTGCACGCCCCCATGTATGACGGAAGATGCAACAGATGAAATCGATGAGTCAGATACAATAACAGTGCGCTTTCACTTTTCTATTTGTTGTCAAACAGTATGGAGTCCATACTTTAAGCCTGTCCAGCTGTCCTGCTCTCATCCTGTCCCCTTTAAAGCCTCTCATTATTAGCATTCTAGCTTAATCCCCAGCCAGGGTAAAAACAACATGTCTGACTCGCTCAGTCTGATGTTTTGTTAAGGCTGCAGTCAGAATTCAACCTCTTCAGGACAAACTAGGGTCTAGCTCTTTCATGGATGTGGCCACAAAGCTTTTCATTTCTTTATTTAAAGACAGATAGACATGCTTTGTTCAACCGAGAGTTACATTTAAGGAGCCAGTTTTATGCCCCTCTTTTGTTTGGTTAAAAAGCCACTCACTGTGATATTGTCAGCAAAGGAATGTGAGATATTTCAGCATCCTCACATAAATCAGACAATAAACTGACCGCCGTGACATTAACCAGGTCTGCTTATTTCAATTCTGTGCTGAAGCTCAGCCTGCGATGATGTATTCAGTTCAGTGTGTTTGTGTGTTGAATTCCATCAAGCCTCTGAAGAGGGGGGATGAGTCATAGCAGCTACGCAAGCCCACTCAGTGGGTGGAGCCACCGACTCATGTACATCCACAGAACCAAGGCCAACAAAACACTTTGCAATATCTTAGTACTACAGGATGACATCATCATAAACAACCGAATCGTTCGCAATTTCCACTTTAAACTTAAGTAAGACATAAAACAAAGAAAATGTGTAAAAATATAAGCCTCAGTGCATCTTCTGAAGTGTAACATCCAGCCACAGTCAGGGCCGTGTCATAATTCACACATACATTTTCACTCCCACCTTTGCTGTGGCTCATCACTGGCTTGAAACAGAGTGCAGCCTACACTTGCAGTACAACCAGGCGAGTCTTTTTCCGCCATTTGAAAAGATGTGTGACAGTCATATACAATTTAATCCAACAGTCACTGACACCGGCATGCAATACTTCACAGTACAAAAGCACACAAAGTTCATTAAACAACCCGCACAACCACAAGCCAAGTTTGAGTGGCTAATGTTTACTTATGTGGTTCTAAGGAAAGTAGATTAGAGTGGTTGCTTATTTGTAGGGAGCGACGAAAACATTAGGAATATTTGAGGCACACCAGTTGAAGAATTAGTTAGTGGTGACATGCCAGATACATAAACTAATCTCATTCAAAAGATTATCAAAAATGCTGTGTCCGAAGTCTTTCAACTATCACTAAAGAAGCAAAAGAAAAATAGACTAGGTCAGAAGTGTATTTTGCAAAATACATTTATTTTGGCTTTTTTTAAAGATAGTCACAGCAGTCATTCAGACTGTAGGTGTTAAAGACTGCAAATAATCCCAGAGATGGAGAGGTTTAGGATGTCAGGTTGGTTTAGCTGCACATTAAAAACACACATCATAGTGGGGCCCAGGCGAAAGCAAACTGAGACTTTCCACAGTTATACAGAAATAAGATTCATATATAAAAAGGTTATTAATGGTTTCACTAAAATGTATGGAAGTGAAACAATAGCTCATTATAAATACAAGGGTTGATATTCTATTACGGTTTTTTTGTAGTTATTGAGTCTGTTAATGTTTATCACAACTTCACTTACACACTAAAACACTTCCGTATGTGTAGATTATACATTTATCAAACTATGAGTTATAACGTAACTAACAAAAATATAGTTTAAACTAATAACAGCAGCACTCGTGCTGCCGACAAGCCAGCCCTCACTTGTGAAGGCGTCTGACCAAATGTTACCCAGCTAACCTTAGTGTTAAACTTCATATTTATTTAACGTTGCTGACACATTCCACAGCGTAACTGCACATACAAAGACACTTTTTCTCGGCTCTTTATTTACAATATGTTTGGGGTTTAATTAAAACTTGTCCCCAAGTTTCAAGCCTACAAGCTGTCAGCTAGCAAGCTAACTACATGCTAATGCTAGGCTAAGCTAGCTATGAGGCAAACTCCTTGAGAAGTGTAAATAACAACAAAAGCGAGGAGGTTGTTTGTTGTTGGATTAAGATCCCGTCTTTTGTGCTGATAATTAGCGGTTACGAAAGCCCAGACGAGTGGCTTTCAAAAAAATAAACCCGGTACAGTACAACAAACATAAACACCTAACCAGCTGTTAGCATGCGCTAGCTTGTTAGCATGCATCACGGTGCGCTGCAGGTCGTGACGCGAATTTAAGCTCTACCCAAAAAGCTAACATAACCGGACAGAACAAACCAAAAACAATGTTAGGCAAATCAGTATGCAAAGCAATCTGTTTGCAACTCACCTCATTACAAACGCTGTTTTCGTCCATCTTGTGCCAGGATCCCTCTCTAAGTCTAAGGCATCGTAGTCTACCTAGACCCCCGCTCCACGTTGCATGTCTTCCCCTCTGTGGATGTCCGGTTGTTCTGCTTTGATGATCAGATCCAAAGCTGTGTGTCTGCAGACCACGATCGGGATGGGATCGGGGGGTCTGTGCGGGGAATAGTTGATGCTGATGACTGGACCATACGCTCGCCGACAGCACCGCTACCCTGCCATGGATGCGAATATGGCGGCTATCGTGGTACCTGGTCGTCAGTGAATGAGAGTTTATTGACGTATTTATGACGCAATTCAGTTAAGGATTTCCCCCCGTCCAAACCAAAGCAGCGGATCTCGACATAGACAGGAGGAAGAGAGGACGTGGTGATGGTAATGCGGGGGGGGGGGGGGGGCGACTTGATGCTGCATGACATGTATGCTGACTGTGACACACATGCATCCGGTTGAAGGGTCTCTGCTATTGTATGGAGTTTAATTTATGGGTTGACGCAAGATAAAATTAGGGAGCAAAACAGAAACCCTGTGGAGAGACATACATCTGAAAGCCTCTGATCTTAAAGGTTGTAAATTGAATGTTTTAAAGCCACTGTTTCATAAGCCTGTCCATCCCTAGTCCAAGTGGAAATAAGAGGCTTAGAGCTCATCCACTTTCCCTTCTTTCTCTCTCCCACCCACAGGCACAAAGCTGTTACCTTGGTTGGTTATTGGCTAATGGTTACACAATCCAAAAAAATCGTTATAACATCATAAAGTGGCCGAAATCTGATCAGCTCATTTTCAGACAGGTTTTTATATAAATGGATCAGGAGAAAAAGTGAGCAAATATTTTTTCCTGAAACGTTCATAATATCTTTACGCAGTGGGGACACATGTTTATGTATAAAATACAGGAAAAAGTTGATTTAGCATAATAGGTGACCTTTAAAATAGCATAGACAGTTAATCAAAGACATAATCATATAATTAAACTGAAGTTTAATCATGTTTGAATTTTATGATTGGGATCCAGAAAAATTTGAGAGCATTTCTGTTGTTTGATCAGTTAATTCTATATCTATATTTAGTTAACTTAAAATTCCCTCCCACAACATTTATCAACAAAATAATTCAGCCTCTAATGTTTGTGAAAGTTATTCTTGTGTTTTCTACATCATAACATAAGTAAAGTGACACTTCTCTCACTGAAACACGTAGACACACATATAAGTTAGAGGTTTTTTATTGTTCTCCCTGGACTGACCCAGGGCAAGGCGAATGATATGCGTTAAAAAAGGCATTTGTTAGCCCAACAGTCATAGTGAAGCGTCGATCCACAGGCACTGTGTGCGGAGCATGAATTCATGAGTGTTTTTGTAGATGTGAGACCGTGTGGGCCATAAAATCTGAAACCAGCTTCTACATGGAGTGTGGAAACATCTGAATGAGTCTATGTGAGCTGATGTACATGACATAGTCACTTTTGTTCTGTGACCGCCTCCGGCAGTCGCTCCTCTGATGCAGAGGGCTCAGTAACTTTAGTCGTTGTATAGTCTTTTTTTATGATGAAAGATGGGACTTCTTCTTTCGCTATCTCGGGTGGAGGCTCCACTCTGCCCGCGCCGGTCATCGGGGAGCCGTTGTGGTTCGAGGATGCGTCCGCTGACTCAGCAGCAGGCTGCGCTCCTCTATCAACCATCATGTCCCAGTCCTGTTCTGAAGGCTGAGGTAGACTGGCCATGAGTTCCTAAACACACAAACCAGAGCAGACTTTAGATTAATCATGTATAAAAACGGTGGGATTTACTTCAAGTTGAAATGAATAATGTCCGTGTGTAAACATGAGTGTGAACGTACCTGCTGTCTCTCCAGGTCATTGTTCCTCACAGCGCTGAGTAGGCTCTTAGTGAAGCTTGCAAGATCGTCGTATCTTTGTTTTTGGTTCTCTAGCTCAATCTCTAAGAACTGCACTTCCTCATGCTGAAACAGGGGAAGCAAAGCAAAGGCAAGAAGTGTTAATTCAGTTTTTTGCCCTTAATCTGAGACATGACAATATTTCTACTTGTCACATAAAAATGAATATCAGACTAACATTCCTTATTTATTGTGGCTGTGCCAACACTGATTCAAGTTAAAAACGCCATCATGACATAGTTGTTTTGTAGTTATCCAAATCTTTTTTAGTGTTCAAAATGAGCTGCTCTTCCAAACAGATGTGGCCTTTTCTCTTTGGCATGCATCTCTACCCAACACCTGCAAAACTGGTTAGTTGGTTGGGGTAAAATGCAAAGAGCTCGCTGTTTTTGGAAACATTCTGAATGCACTGTATACATGCCAAAATATTACTCCTTAAATCCAAAAATGATCACACATGACTTAATCAAAAATGCTGAATATCCAAATGAAATATGCTGTGTAAGAAAGGTTTGCAGCCACTGGTTTATGTTTGGTTCTAGGGCTGCACGATATATCGTGTCGTGACGATAATCGCGTTATGCGTGATATTGACATCGCAGGACGTGCGATTATTTAAAAAATAAATACAATTATTTATTTTTAGGACGTGCGATATTAAAGGTGGGGTAGGTCATTTTGGAGAAACCAGCTCGAGTGCGCTAGAATTTGAAAACGCGCACATGACCAATGATGTACGAGATAAGTTTGTGCACGAGATGGAAGGCTGACAGGCAGGTAGGCCATCCAGTTATTTTAGCCGGGCCGGCTCAGATGATTGGTCGTGCTTTTTACAGTACTACGGCTTCCACAGATGACATTTTGTCATGTATTTATTGTCAAAGCATTTAATATATTCATTGCTATCGGATTCCATGGAATATAACAAAAAGTGTTTCTGAAATAAATTACATACCCCACCTTTAAATAGGCAAATGAACTCAAACGTCATGTTACAATCACCACCATTCTTGATCAGATCACAGCAGGATAACCGAGCTAGCTCAGCTTGTTGCTCTGATAACTTAAGATCCAGAAGTCCGTGACTAAAATCCTTCATCCGCTTAAATATTGTTAAAGAAATACCAATTGTATAGCATTAAAGTTCAAGAAAGGATGGTTTGCGGACAAAAAAAACTGTCTTTTCTTCAATTCCTGTATTTTTTCATATCGCAATATATATCGCAGGGGAAGAAAATATCGCAATGTCAGTTTTTTCCAATATCGTGTAGCCATATTTGGTTCATCTGTCCAGGCACGTGCACACATAGACATCAAAATGGGCTTGAGCCCCTGCCCTTTTTCTTCCTCCAGAGAAAGTGCCCTTTTTATGGGGTGCTTTTTTTTCTCTCCAATAAATGAATATATATCTAGCCTTCTGCTGTTTCCCTTTCCAAAAATATATTGATTGAATACAAAATAAAAATATCAGGTCAGGAGATTAGACTGTGAAGTTCCGATGCTCTCTCTCCCCTCCCTCCATGTCACGCGCACAGCGGTAGTCACTTCAGACAGACAGGTAGCAGCACCTCCACCTTACAGTCCCATGTTATGTTTTCTTGGCTTGTCTGAAGGTGAGTGGTGGTGATGAACAAATAACTAAACTGCCAGTGCCTCGAGTTTACAACTAATTAGCCAAAAGACAAAAACAAATATAGTTAACTAAGGTAGGCTACTAGCTAATGGATAAGTTAGCTCAAGGTTTACCTAAGGCAATTTATCATGGCATTCAGGCTAATGTAGCCTACTGTACTTAAGGGGAGACACTACAGGTGAATACAGTAAAAATGTGTATCTAATAACGTCATCACAATCGCCACATTGATATGCAAATGAGGCGTTAACTAGTACACTAGTAATAAAGTAGTCAACTATCTTATCTCTTATCTTATCTTAATTAAAATGCGCTAATTTGCATGCAGTTACCAAGGCATTGCAGGAGAAAAGTATAAAACAAAAAACATATCACCTCACAACTTCCCCAGATAGTTACTTACGTCAAGTCAGTATTTTCCTCTGAAATGTTATGTTTAAATGCAGATTAGCTTTAAATCTATAGATGAATTTAGACATGGTAGTAAAGCAAACACCATTTATTTGTGTTTTTTGGAACTTTTCTTTCCATTAGTGTGAAAGAAAACATGGAAGCAAAATAGACCAAAATAACTAAATGTACAAGTACATGAAAAAACGATCTTTTTGCCTGAAATGTCCTTAAACAGTAACTTCATAATTTTGATTGTTGGCTGCTCATTTAATAACTATTAATTGTACTAGTTTGTTGTCTGCTCTTGTGCATTGTGAATACTAAAGTGTCAGCTGATTATTTTGTAGAATTCTGTTGAGTATTAAACAATTGCGTGAGTGTGAGTGTATTCAAATAATTGGTCAGTAAGTCAGAGATGTGCAACTATATTTAACTTTTTGTTTTACATTTTTTTTATAGAAATGATTATGGGAAGTGCCCCTTTTTCCCACTTGAGCTCCCACCCCCCAAAATGTCTGTGCACGTCCCTGCATCTGTCATATTCTTGTGTGTGTGTCTTCACCTTGAATTCCAACAGGCCCTGCATTTGCTCTAGGTCTGAAGCCACTAAATCACCGCCATCATCATCGTCATGTTCATCCTCATCCATTACCTCGATCTTCTGTTAGAAAAAGCAACAAAGATTAAATCAAATAATCATGACATATTGTATTTTTCTGTAATAAACTGAATTATGCCACAATTTGTTTTCTCAAAGTAACAAAGCACTCTTGATAAAAAAAATTTAAAAAACATATCCTTGTTTGAAATTGCTGCTGTGTTTAGTCTGCAATAGTGCTGTCTAGATAAAGCTCATACTAACCATGAAACAAGTGACGTAATGCCAAGTTGATGTAGTTTTCTTGCATTAAACTAAAAACGTATATTATTAACTCGGCTGTACTGTAACATCAAATATAAAAATCAAAAATAATTACCACATTATTGGCCAGTGGAGCAGCAGACAGATCTATACCATCATCTCCTTCTCTGTGATGAGAGTCGATGGTTCCATCTAGAAGCCAGGAGATTACATGAATGCTGAGTCACACTGTTTTTACAGACACAGGTGGCTGTGTGTGTGTGTGTGTGTGTGTGTGTGTGTGTGTGTGTGTGTGTGTGTGTGTGTGTGTGTGTGTGCATTGCATCAGCAGCCTGACCTTCAGACAGGCAGATTGATCCCTCGTCATTCAAGTCATCTCCGAGTTCAGGCGTTCTGAGGCCCACCTCGTCGGGGCTCACGGGAGACTCGTTCCCGGTGGAGAATACAGCAGGTCCCCCTTTAGGTGGAGGGATCTCTATACCCATCAGACGGTACTTCCTCCGTCTGTTACTGATCCATGTCTGCCGATTGGAAAACACAAAAGACAACATGGTAAGTTGGATGGACGTTGAACAAAAATACGCACAATAGCTTTTCAAAATAAAGTGTCTAATGTGATGAATGAGTGAATACTTTTACACACACACACACACACACACACACACACCAATGACTAACCCTGTGTTACTTTAGATCAATAAAGAAACCTTTATTTTTCGTGCAGGCCTTCTTGGTGGAAGAAGAAACAAAAAACAGAGCAAAGTCTTCAAAATAAAAGCCTTAGGGCTGCGTTGAACAACAGCAAAGTTTATCAAAACATCTGTTTAAAAACTCATTTATCCAGACTCACTACTTCCCAAACACATTTTCATGCATTTTCACTAAAGCGTAATTATTAAAACACTTCTGCATAAACATCATTAATCTTGTGCGCCACGTGTCCTAGCATTTATTAAATAGTATGTTTCTTTGGAAAGTGGTGAGAATATGCCTGGATAAATGAGACATGGATTATACTTCAAGATTTCTGTGGAGTTTGTAAACAGACATTTTTAAAACATAGTTCCCATTCACTTCCATTCATCAAGAATTATCCAATCCTTTGGAGTCTTTGTTCACATTTAACGCAAGTTTTCTTCTAGATTCAAGGTAATACGGGGTGAGTACCTGATTAACTAAGGGTTATTTTGCAGGTGAAGTTTTGTTTTAAGTCAGAAAATAAATAGGTATACATGTGTCACATTTAGCCTAACCCAAATTTGCAGTTGTTAAAATGATTGCAACGAAGATACATTTGATGGCGGCAAATGTGTTTATCTGTTATGTCAGTGTTTTCTTCCTCACAATAATATCCCCAGTAAGTGAGATGGCCGCCATGTGTGTGTCAGGACTGAGAGGCTATATTTAGTCCATCAGCATTCCTACTGTAGCGCTGATATATACCTGTGTGACTTTTCCACAACTTTACGTAGGTAAGTCATAAAACTTCTATGACCTACAAAAGTTCTTTCCTGTTTTCTTTCAGCTCTCTAAAGTTCAGATGAGTCAAATGGTCTTGTTTTCACTAAATGTCATAGACAAGTGGCTAGACATTGTGAATAAGGCTCACAGCTCGCTAAGTCCACAAGACATCTCTTTAGTTTCAAGGATACTGAGGATATGTAATCCAAGGAGGAACTTACGCTTTTTAAAGATTTTTTCTGTATTTGTTTAACACCGGTAATAGAACAAATCCAATCCTGTTGAGTTGCTTTACCTTGACTATTTCAGTGTCTACATTGAGTTGGTTTGCAGCGGCGGTGATCTTTTCCCTGCACACTGAGCCCAGGCTGGTCATGCCTCGGTCCCAGTATCGCTTCATTTGGAGGAGATCCCCATCACTGAACTGGGTCCGATCCTGCAGCTGAAAACACAAATCAACTTTAACTACAGAACACTCACACTAAAGTTAAGCAGACTTTACCATATCACTTTACAGACAGTAATGTATGTGTGTTATAACCTGGTGCTTTAAAGAGATGGTTCGGATGTTTTAAAATCAGATTGTATGAGGTATAATCCCTTGTCAGTTTCTTAACCAAAGTTGATGGCGATTTGGAGAAATAGACAGTCCCACCAGTAATGTACTACGTTGTAAGGGCAGGTGGAAGGAAAATATATTTAAGCCACCTAAACATTGACCAACATGTGAAAATTATGAATCAGTTAAAGTGTACAACATTTATTTTTTTCAATACAAAAAATATACTTTTACCTCATAGGACTTGCTGGTATGTATTTTTGTGTGACTTTAGCAAAATGTAACTTTTAAAACACCATATTGACACAATAACACAAAAACTAATTATCGGGGTAGCATAGATTGATATAGGGCTGTCTGACGGCAAAGTAAAGCAGTGGCAATATGTGAAATATAGTGTACACTTGGGTGGATGAAATAGTATTTGCTAACCCTTTCTCCAACCTAGGAGGGCAGAGCGCCCTCTACTGTAGGTAATACACTGTTTACTAATAAATATCTTCTACAATGCTACTCAAAACCATTCCTCTCAAATATTTTTCCTGAGTTACATATTCAAAATGTTTTGTTTAAAGTACTCACTGTTCTTTTTCTGGAGTTGCTGATAACCCAGGGGGCAGCAGACACACGGACTGAAGTCTGCACACAGAGACAGTTACAGTCAGGGTAAGCCTCTCAAGTCGTTTTGAAGGAAACCTCACCAGAACCTCTCCTACCTGTGCGCTGGGTTCCCCTGGAGGTGAGGTCTGTGCTGTGACAGAGTAGCTGCCGTGAAGCGCTGAGGGTCTGGAGCTCGTCATCGGGGGGGGTGTTTCTTCCTCTCCCAACTGACACTTCGGCCCCGCTCGTTGGCGTCCGCTCCCTGTGGATATGTGTCTGAGCGGCCATGTTTGCCAACTCCTCTTCCCTTTGCCACTCGTCTTCTTCATATCCAGTTTCCATGGCGATGGAGAAGTTGGGACTGGCGTCCAGAGGGTGGGGCGCCGGCCTATGACTCTCCGGGCTTTTCGGGGCAGACGCATAACTCGGCTTGAGCTTGTCTCCCTTGCTTATTTCTGACAGGGTGAAGACCTGCTGGATACGAGGTGACTGTTCGGAGGAGGGGCCGCAGTTTTGAACTGGGGGGGAGACCTGAGTCTTCTGAGGGGCAGGTGGTCGAAGTTGAGGTTGGGGGTTGGAGTGAGGTCTGTGCTGAGGCTGGGACTGTGAGGAAGAGGACCAGGGGGGGGTTTGCGCTGCACCGTACTGCCTGGTCCAGCTGTGAGGTACCACCCCTGCTCCTGCACTTAGCCCCGCCTCCACAAGGGATACCGCTCCCTTCCTGATTGCAGTGTAGACTAAAGGCCCTGAGGCAGACGTGAGGAGGGGGAGGTTTTGAGTGAGCGACACTAGCTTGGAGTGGTGGGGTGAGGAAGTGGAGCTGTTCCTGCTCTGAAGGGCCCGGCTGATCAGAGAGGTGGTGGATGTGTTTGCTGGAAGTTCGGAGTCTGACTGAGATAGCGGGGCTGAGGGTCTCGGCCTGGGAGGCAGGGCAGAGTTTAGAGAGTAAATCCCGGTCAGTATGACGTCATTGTTGTTGTTGTTGTTGTTGTTGCTTCCGTTGCTGTGGGGAGAGGAAGAGGAGGATGATGTCGAGGAGAAAGAAGGGAAGGATGAGGATGGAGGCAGAAGGTGGACGCGGTTCTGGATGTTGCGCGCCGCAGCCAGTTCAGCAGGAAGCAGCGCCCCGCCAGCCAGGCCGTGATTGGACAGTGAACCTCCAGCTAATGAGTGATTGGAGAGTAATCCCCCAGTGAGTCCGTGACTGGAGAAGGAATGAGACATGCCTCCATTTTGTTCCACCTTGGAGGCCAGCTTACGTCTTTTGTTGCCAACCCATGTCTGCGGGGAGAAGACAGAGCAATCAGCTCAGTAACATCACTTTAAAAAACATTCTGTAATACACTACAGGGACTAATTCAGCAAAGCGATGATAATAATTCATGACTCTGCATTAGAGGAGGAACTCACAGAGAACAGACTCGCTGTCTCAATTACTTCCCCTAAAAATGATAGCAAAGTGTTCTACTCCCCTTATGCTCATTCACAAACACTTAAGCATATTCTGTATTGGCCTACCCGGACCACGCTGAAGTCCAGTTTGGACTCCTGAGCACACTGCAGTATTAGCTGGAAGCAAGACTTGCTCTGATTGGTCATCCCATTATCATAGTAACGTTCCAGGATCCTCTGCTGCTCATTCGTAAAAACTGAGCGCAGGTTCATCTGAGACACAATCAAAAAGATAAAGAAAACGTTGTGTTACACAATAATTCACATGAGCTCACTGATAGATTGTGGTTTAACCTCATGACACTTGTGCAATTTCCTTTAACTGGTGTCTGGATTGTAGCCGAATATGTAAAGATCATAACATCTTTCATTATGTTATTACATTTTTAAATAAGTATATTCCCTAAAAATGTCAATGTATTCCGATTACAACTGCAGCAGCATGCTTTATTTCTTTTCAATATGTCAGATTTCAAGCTGTTGTTATTGTTGTTATTGTTTTAAATAATACTAGCTCTTTTCGGAATACAACCCTTGATATATACTCACATTCTGCAGGCCACGTCTCTGTGACCACGCATCCATTCTGCTACTGGAGGGGAACGGGGCAGCCATGCAGATCACAGCAAAACCTCCATGTTTCTAGATAAGCACAACTTTGTTTGTACTCATCGTGGCTCAGTGTACCTGGCACACTGCTGGGTAATGTGGCTGCGGAGAGAGAAAAGCAGACAACACCAAAAGTGTAAATAAAAAGACAAATTAATAACTCTATCCATGTCACTATGAGCATGCTTCTGTACTACAAGTAATAGACGATAAGGAATCTTTATCAGTTTCATCAAACTGTAGACAAACAGTCAAAACTGTGTCATAATATACATTACAGCATTTTGAAAAAGAAGCATGAAGCATTATGAGGCTGTCAAACATACAACAGGCTGTCAGTCAAAGTATAATAAACTGAGACAAGCCACTGTTTAGTATCAATAACACTATCAATCATGTGTTGTTGTGCCTACCATTGTTCTAGGCATCATTGAAAGCCACTGAAATGTGTTCCCTTGCATTAACCACAGAGATACAACTATGTATTAAATGCTTGGTTTAAACTAAAGGGTAAAAGGGTACAATGAGTTATATCTTACTCTGTGGCAAAACAACACTACAATGGATTATGAGCTTCAAGCTAATTCGTGAAGCCACTTAACGAATATAAGACTAGATCGTTTATTCATCCCATATAGCAGTGTTTCTCAAACTTTTTCATACCAAGGACCACTTAACCAATGAAAAAACACTCGCGGACCACCTAACTCCACAAATATCCAAAAACACATCGTTTTTTTAGAACAGATTACAAATCGCCTGAAAATGGTACAAACAAGTGGCAACATGTGTGATGAAGGTGTTGCGCTGGGCTATATCATGCAATCGAAAGTGAAACTTAAGCTCGCTCCATTGCGGAAATATTCCCGCGAGAGTGCGGAAAACTTAAATTTATTTATTTATTTCAAATGTGAAATGTTACCAATATACTCACGGACCACTAGGGGGCGCTCACGGACCACCAGTGGTCCGCGGACCACACTTTGAGAAGCACTGCCATATAGGGACATTATGTTGTCACAGCAGCAGTGTAGTCAAGTCAAGCATTACACATTAGTTAATAATTAACATTAACAGCAAAAGTTTTCATTTTCACAGTAGAACAGACACTTATCACAAGAGTATCTAAATAATACAAAATATAAAGAATAGGCAATAAACAATTTCACTAAACAACAGCAATATATAGAAATATATACGACAGAAACATATAGACATTGGGAAATTAGAATTGTGCAAAGTAGCTGTTGTGCAAATTGTTCTTGTTTATAGAAAAGGATACACTTAACAAGCAAAGCAGAAGTGAGTATTATTTAGTTGTAACATTCTTAATAGTAATAAATGTGTGTATAAACAATGACGAGCCGGTGACAGTCAAAGTAAGCTTGAGCTAGCGTGTAGCTTCATATGTAAAGACAACAGCTATGCTTATAAACGGGGTCCATTGTTATGAAAACGAGTTACACGTGTGTGTTGTGTTTATACACAAAGTAAACGAGGGAGGAAAAAGAGAAACCAGCCCGGTTAAAATAAAAACTCTTGTGCTATCACAAAGCTGGAAACTCGGTGACTAAGTTTGAAAAACAGCAGTAGCCTACTAGGCTTTGATAAAGACAGAAATGTCACAAACGGGATTGTTGTACAACCAATAGGCATCCAGCAGCAGGTTTATTTTTGGCAGGCTGACTGCGCATGGCTACAGTCAATATGGAGACATTACTGAGAGAATTAGCGAACAAATTGTGTTCACGTCAGATAAGTATGCCAGCCAGACAGCAGCATGGGGACTCAGAAACACTATTCCCACACAGGAAGCACATGCTGTAACTTTACGACTGCGAGCCAGACAGTAAACAAACTGGGTAAGCGCCGCATTCATCTCCACAATGGCCGTACAAACAGCTTAGCTTGCAGGCCCGGGCGGCCATATCTGAGTCAGCTAACGTTAGCTAGCCTTAGCATAGCTTTCCCTATGGATAGCTGCAGCTAAACTTTTCCTTCAAATCTCTGATTTCCCGACCCTGGCATGAGCATTCTCGCAAACCTTGCTCTCGAGCAGGGACGAACAAGAACAGCCGGGGTATTCCCGAAGTGAAAAAGTAAAACCACTTTCCTACTTACCATTTCTGATGTCAAAATCAGACGGACGTTCAAATTCAGCAGATTTCTTCACCAGTCCCGTTTGCTAGACAATGAAATCAGAACGTCCGATCATCAATTCTAATCATGATTGTGACGTGTTTGCAGACAGGAGCCAATGGGAACTCGAGATCATCGCTCTGACATTTGGAAAGGGCTGACAATTGAGCGAAGTCCCGCCCACCATTGACTTTGTTCAGAGGCTGCTGGAGGAGGAGGTCACAGACATGGAAGCAGCCCAAATGTTGGATGTGAAATGGTCTGTGTCCTCATCACCTTTTAATAACTGAAAATGTGCAGGGATGTACAGTAGGTGCTGCAAATGTTGCCAATGTTTAAAAGGACAATGCAGGGTACAACAATCACTGTCAGCAAATGCTATTTTTAGATTGCTATCTGAAACTTTTCATCAATATTTTGACTTCGTATTGACAGCAAAAGGTTGCAAATGATTGATGTTTTTCCAAAATGGTAATGATAAATGTTTAAATCAGCACTTTGAAATGATTAAAATGAAATCACATTTACATTACATTCAAGTACTGACATTGTAAGTCTTGTACAAATAGTCATGCAAGTGAAACACATTTCATTTAAATATAATACATTTTAATTTAAGTAATCATCAGTATTACAGTACTTTGAAATACCTCAATCAACACTTTATCCCTAAAGATCTATTTATCTTGAAGTAAATGAGTTGTAGCCTACCTTCTGCAATAAGACTGACTTATGTACTTTCGTATTACAGTCTAATATCATTTTTGCCATTTTTGATGCAGGATGCTTATACTATATATCAGGACGAGAGACAGACAAAAATACAGCACGTATAAAGAATGGGGCAGTAAATCGGTCCTTAGAGTCGGGTAGAAACAGACGTTTGGTCCCTCAGGAAGCACCTTGCCAACAACATAAACACAAACTGCGAACAACCATACATTATCATTCAGAGGACTTGCAAGACATTATTGTTGCTTTGTAGAACATCCCTATATATCTGTTTACAGGTTTTTGCTAGCGCTACATGTACTTCTGAATTTTAAAACCAATTGTTTTTGTTTGTGAGTTCTGTTTGAAAGAAAAAGAAAAGTTGTTCTATAACCACTGTGTTTTGTGACCTGTTTGCATGCTTTTTGGATCACACATTTGTTTCTAAAGTATTCCAAGATGCACACAATTAAATCCACAGGCAAGTAAACGAGCACCACTTGTTCACGTCCTCAGGACATTAATCGATCCACACAAAATGAATAAAACATTATTTTATTTTCAGTATTCTTTTTTGCTTGAAAAATGAATGAAATTAGAGGATTTCGTGCCTTCATGCTATTTTGAACTGAATATTGTGGGTATTCGGACATTAGTTAAAAACAACATTACGTTTGACTGTGTGAAGTTGTGATGGGCATTCTTATTTATATTTGTGTGTTTAGTAGACTAAACGAAGATTGAACAACTGTAAACATTATTGTCAGATTAATAGATTCCTTGTGATGTATACAATGTCATTTGTAAATAATAGTTGTATGGAAAAAACATATGAAAATGTTCTCGCTTGTTTTTTCATGATTTTTCTCTTTGTTTTGAGGTATCTTATCTATCCATCTATCTATCATTAGTTCATACAAACTACCTGCTTCTTGCTCCATCTCCTTGTGTATAAAGTCAACCTTAGGTGGATGATGCTGGTGTGTGTGTGTGTGTGTGTGTGTGTGTGTGTGTGTGTGTGTGTGTGTGTGTGTGTGTGTGTGTGCGTGTGTGCGTGTGGTCTAGCATTACTATACTTGTGGGGACCCACATCTGTTTACATAGTCACGTGTGGGGACTGGCTTCCCTTATGGGGACAAATTGGAGGTCCCCATGAGGGGGATCATTAATTTTAGGGTGAAGACTTGGTTAGGTTTAGGGTTAGGGTTAGGGTAAGGGTTAGGGTAAGGGTTAGGGTTAGGGTAAGGCATGTGTTGGTTATGGTTAAGGTTAGGATAAGTCTCCAGGAAATGCATTTGCATTGTAAGTCAATGTAATGTCCCCTGAAGTGATGTATACATGGTGTGTGTGTGTGTGTGTGTGTGTGTGTGTGTGTGTGTGTGGAGGGGATTCTGCTCTAATCCATGACGTCACCTGTGTCCCAGGTGCGCAGCAGGGGGCGCTGTTCCTCACAGCTGAGCTCTGATCAGCAGCAGCGCCTGACAACTGATGCTGATCTCCTCATCTACAGATGGTGAACTTAAAAAAACAGCTGATGAGCATTGCCTTACACTGTGGTGTGGCACGCGCTGCCAAAAGGCAAACATATCACGCAGACAACCACAAACTATGAGTGTTGACAAAGACTAATGAATTAACACTGTAAAAATACACATAATGAAGCACGTGATTACAATTCCAGGTGACATCTTAAAGACACTGCCGGTTATAATTGATTTTACTTAAGTTATATTGTACACTGTATGTATGTGCATGTGTAAGGCAGGGATGGGGGGGCAGAAAGAGAGAGATCCCTATATGTGCGTTGCACCATTCCCTGGTCTGTGTTATGAGTGGTGGCCCTTGTGATGCTGCAGCGAGGCGAGAGGGAGGGAAAAAAAGAGAGGAAAGGGGAGGGGTCGCTCCATCCCCTCTCTCCCACCGAATCCACTTCTCACAGCGCGGGAAGGCACGAGCAAGGGAGCGAGAGAGTTAGAGAGACGGAAGGAAGGAGGGAGGGAGCAGAAAGTAGTGTGCGTGTCTCCTCCGTGTGTGCGCGTGGATTGCACCACCGCATCCCGTTCACCGTTTCTGCAGGCGGCCATGCTCTGATGGAGAGACTAAAACTGACAAAGCTCTATTTTTCCTCAGATTCACCCACCGCCGTGTCATTCCAGATGTGACTGACAAGTCGTTTTATGTCGCCCGCATTGAGTCCTGTGCTGTTCACCTCGGAGAGACTGTGACACCATGGCTTTGGTTATGGAACCTATAAGTAAATGGACACCAAAGCAAGTGCTGGACTGGATGAAAGGTAACAAATTGGATCTCTTTAATGCATCAGAATGAGGATGATGGTGATGGGTGGTGTTTGTGAGCAGCGGAGGGCCACAGTGTGTGTGTGTGTGTGTGTGTGTGTGTGTGTGTGTGTGTGTGTGTGTGTGTGTGTGTGTGTGTGTGTGTGTGTGTGTCCTCCTCATCCAGATCTGTAGGCTGACGTGTGTTTTTTTTGAAGTCACTAAAGTATGAATGCGTTTGCAGGGAAATGGTTGTCCCCAAGAAGCAGGGAGTGGAGGCTCAGCATTCTGTCATGTTGCACCCCCCGCAAGCAAAGCCTATAGGCTGCTGCCTCCATCAGCCCCACCAGCACCAGCTTCCATCAATGAGTGTGGAAGACATGTCATTCACTCACTGCCACATGCTCTATAAGCCCATGTATGTGTATGTGTGGCGACATGCACGAGTGTGTTTGATTAATGTAGTTAGCTGCATGCAACCCCCCCCCCCCCCCCCCCCCTCACTTCCATTCCTCCACCTCCCCACCACCTATACAATCAGTTTCAGCACCGTGGACAGCGCAATGCCGCCTGCCATACAAGGCAAACGCACCATCACTCTTTTTTTTTTGTGTGTGTTGCTCGCTTTTCTGGCACTAGATGCGTCCCTTCAAACAGACAGTATGAATGAGGAATCGCTAATCATGCCTGTGTGTGTGTGTGTGTGTGTTAGTGTGTGAGTGCTCACACTCTCTGGTCAGACACAGAGCTGTGAGAGAAACTGTGGTAGGCCTATTGACAGACAATGGAGGAAGGGGGTCCGCAATCCCTTTTCCTTAATTAATCATATGTGTGTGATGACTCAAACGTACAAAGCATTATCCAAATAGACACTTATGGTTGTGTGTTTGTATTCATTACACATACAGAGGCGCCACTCATCTATAAATATGCTAAAACTCCATATCCCTACATGTGTTTCAGGACTACTACAGTTCATTTGGGTGATGGTGTAAGCTCTGATGTCTGAGATTAGAAGTCAAGGTGGCCCCTCGGGGGAAACACAGTGTGTTTGTGATGCGTTGCGTTGGGCGATTACGATGATGGCCCTGGTTTTATAATTGTTCTCCTCATCGACGGTGAGCAGCAGCCAGCGGAGTCACGGCTTCATCCTCTGATCCGTGGACTGTTCACTTCTAGAAAGCTTTGCCCCAGCACCTTTCATTGAGAGACATTTGATTGGATGTTTGATTCAACATGGGTAACACACTTAAAATGTGTGGTTTTGGTTCAGTTGTATTAGTGATACACTGAACTATGGACACAATAGTGGTCAGGATGCTTAAACTCAACATGGTAATGATTATTTTAATTCCATATGTGGAGGTTGAGGTTGAGGTTACTTCAATGTCCCGTGATTTAAAACACACTGCCAATAGGCCTGTCCCCTCTTAGTCCATTCGTCAAGTAATTTGTTTCGAAATGAGTTGGTTAGGAATTATTTTGCCTTTTTTAATGCTTTTTCACGCTGAATGACTTATTGCCAAAATAATTATGATCGGGAGATTCGGACCATCAAATCAACCATCGATAAGTCGTCAAATCCCATCACTGTTAGTTGATTGAGACTTTATTTAGACGAGGACAGCCCTACTGCCAGTTTAAGCCAAAAGTTATTAGTCAGTCTGTCCCCA